AAATTACATCCACAGCATTCCTCTGATCCACTCTGATCCACTTAACAACCACCTCACTTAGTAATGGAAATCCTGGCCCCCGTAAGTCAAGGACTACCATGTTACCTTTATGTTCTGCTTTCTTCAGGTCCTCATGTTGACTTAAGATGGGATTTCCCTTCTGTTCATCCTCAGAACAAGTCTGGGGGTCGACTGGATAACAAAAAAGTGACTGGACCAAAGTCATCCCATGGATACTTTTGGCTGAAGGTCGGGGTGAACCTCCCCAGTCCCAGTGCAACCATTAATTACCACCCCACATTCTCCCTAGCCTTGGCAAAGGCTCAACACCCCAATTCTTTATTGCTTTGTTCAGGGCAAACAATCTTCAGAAAGGAGGCAACGGGTTGGAAATCGGTGGATCTGGAGATTGTTCTCACTGTCAGGAAGGTTAGTTCCAGGTTGCTTCTTTCCTTGATTAGTTTCCATCCGTTGCTTCTCGTCCTGCCTTCTGGTGCTTTGGAGAATAGGTTGACACCCTCTTCTTCTTTGGGGCAGCCCCTAAGATACTAGAACACTGCTATCATGTCACTCCTAGTCCTTCTCTTCATTAAACTAGACCTACCCAATTCCAGCAACCGCTCTTCATATGTTTTACTCTCCAGGCCTTTAATCATCTCGGTTGCTCTTCTTTGCACTTTTCCCAAAGTAGAATAATAATAATAATAATAATAATAATAATAATAATAATAATAATAATAATAATAATAGTAGTAGTAGTAGTAGTAGTAGTAGTAGTAGTAGTAGTAGAATAGAATAGAATAGAATAGAATAGAATAGAATAGAATAGAATAGAATAGAATAGAATAGAATAGAATGGAATGGAATGGAATGGAATGGAATGGCACGGAATAGAATAGAATAGAATAGAATAGAATAGAATAGAAATTGGAATAGAAATTAGAATAGAATTGAATTGAATTGAATTGAATAATGGAATAGAATAGAATAGAATAGAATAGAATAGAATAGAATAGAATAGAATAGAATAGAATGGAATGGAATGGAATGGAATGGAATAGAAAGAATAGAATAGAATAGAATAGAATAGAATAGAATAGAATAGAATAGAATAGAATAGAATAGAATAGAGAAAAGGAATAAAATGGAATAGAATAGAATAGAATAGAATAGAATAGAATAGAATAGAATAGAATAGAATAGAATAGAATAGAAGAATGGAGTGGAATGGCATGGAATAGAATAGAATAGAATAGAATAGAATAGAATAGAATAGAATAGAATCTAGAAGGGACCTTGGAGGTCTTCTAGTCCAGCCCCCTGCTCAAGCAGGAAAACCTATACCATCTCAGACAAGTGACTGTCCAGTCTCTTCTTAAAAACTTCCAGTGATGGAGCACCTACGATTTCTGAAGGCCAGCTGTTCCACTGTCTCAACATCTTTTTTGTAATGTGGTGACTGAAACTGGATGCAGGATTCAAGGTGTGGCCTTACTAAGGGTTTATAAAGTGGTACTAATAGTTCATCTGATGCCTCTGTTTATACAACCGAGGATTGTATTGGCTTTTTGGGCTGCCGCCGCACACGGCTGGCTCATGTTTAAGCGATCGTCCACTCGGACTCCAAGGTCCTTCTCACAGTTACTGTTTTTAGTCCTCACTTAATAACCTAATTTCAACAAGAATTTCCATCACATATAGACATGCTCAATTCCTGCCATTCCTGTTTTTCAAATGTTTCAGCCTCCAGCTCCCTAATCATCTTTGTTGCTCTCTTCTGTACTCGTTCAAGAATCTCAACATCTTTTTTATATGTGGTGACCAAAATTGGGTGCACTATTCCAAGTGTGGTCTTATAAAGCGGTATTAAAACTTCATCTGATCTTGATTCTGTCCCTCTGTTAATGCAGCCCAGGGTTGCATTAACGTTTTTGACGGCAGCTGCACCCTCTTGGCTCATATTTAAGTGATTATCCAGTTGAACTCCAAGAGCCTAGAGAACTGATCCCAGATCCAAAATATGGATCACACCCTTTCTCCAGTTTACGGTGAATTTTGGGCCATCTGCAACCCTAAAACGGAATACACAAGACTCATAGAAGACGACGCCCATAATTTATTTGTAAGATTTTCTTGTTTGTTTGGTCTTTTTTTAAAAAAAAAAAAAAATCCCATATCCTAATAACTCAACAAAGGTTTAACAATCTTTGGTAAAAAAAAAAAAATCAGACTAGATGACCTTTGGGTACCCCCCAATATTTATATTTTCTTAGCACTGAAGATATTTGGGGGGAGCAAGGAATATCCCTAAAGAATGGCAGTGCAAAATCTAGGACAGGATTTCTCAACCCTTGAAGATGTGTGGACTTCAATTCCCAGAATTCCCCAGCCAGCTTTGCTGGCTGGGGAATTCTGGGAGTTGAAGTCCACAGATTTTCAAGAGCCACGGTTGAGAAACACACTGATCTAGACCATTCCAGCTGTTCTGAAACATACTTTTAGTTGCACGAATTGCAACAGCCCATCTAAATCTCATTGCCCAATTGCTGGTGTAAGTTACAGGGTAATTTGCACATTTAATAACTACGGGATGAGAAATATTTGATGACTCCAGCTCTGCTTTGTGGTTACTGCTGGCATCCGTCAATTGAAGAGCAAGTCTTTCCTGATTCCCTTGCAAGAACTGCTTATACCCCAAAATCTTACGGCAGAAGCTTTTCCTTCTGCCCCCCTCCCTTCCCCAACCCAGCTCTCCATCTAAAGGGCGAGGCAGACATTCAGACACCATGCAAATGGTGGTCCATTTTGTAATTCCAGCGGTTGGCAAAAGGCGGGACACGCCTTGCACGTGTCGCAAAGTTGCACCCTTCCTGCAATGGTCTTGCGCAACGGGCGATACCCCAAATCGGAGCTGGCTCCTGGTGAATTGGGAAATGGTTTTCTCGCCTGCAGGAAAGAGGATGGAAACGTGGTTTTAGTGCCATGAACGGTGGGCTGTGAAAGTAAACCTGGAATGAAAAAAGGGATTGCAATCCCCTCTCATTCCCAAACGCCTTTGGAAGCAACCTGGGAAATTCCACGTCAAGGTACTAATTGAACAGCTAGCCAGCTTATGCAATGTGAGATGTATGATGTAATGATGGGAATGACTCAGCAGGGTCTGTGTGCCTTTAAGAGCCTTTGTATAAAAGGAAAGCTCTGCTGATGTGTTCTCTCTCTTCCGTTTCCTGCTGTAACTGTTGTGTGTTGGATCCTGCTATATTAACACATGTATGTATGTTGTTCCTGGTGTATGATATTGTAGATAGTGTAATATAAACCACCATTTAATATAGACAACTCTTGACTGTGTTCACTCCTGGGTTATCTCAGCGCAATAAGACTGTGCACGCTCTGACATTCCACTTTTCAAATGTCCTAATATGACGCTTAATCGATCCTGCTGTGGAGACTCTGAGCGTCTTCAGGATTAATCTTTTATAAACTCTGAGGATACTCTCAGCTTATGCTGTGGAGGTAGTCCTTGATTTATAACCAATTGCTTAGCGATGGTTCAGAGTTACAGCGGACACCCCAAAATTGGACTTATGACCTGGTTTTGAAGTTCTAACATCAAGGATCCCTTGTGATCATGTGACTACATTTTGGCACTTAGCAACTGACTTAACAGAATGGAAGGGACCTTGGAGGTCTTCTAGTACAACCCCCTGCTCAGGCAGGAGACCCTAGACCCTTCCAGACAAATGGCTATCCAGTCTCCTCTTGAAAACCTCCAGTGATGGAGCACCCACAACTTCTGGAGGCAAGGAGTTCCACTGGTTAATTGTCATCACTGTTAGGAAGTTTCTCCTTAGTTCTAGATTGCTTCTCTCCTTGATTACTTTTCATCCATTGTTCCTTGTCTTGCCTTCTGGTGCTTTGGAAAATAAATTGACCCCTTCTTCTTTGTGGCACCGCCTCAAATACTAGAATCCTGCTATCAAGTCCCCCCCCCCCAGTCCTTTTTTTTTCTCTAGACTGGCCATACCCAATTCATGCAACCGTTCTTCATATGTTTTAGCCTCCAATCCTTTAATCGTCTTAGTTGCTCTTCTCTGCACTCTTTCCAAGGTCTCAACATCTTTTTTGTATTATGGTGACCAAAACTGGCCTGCATTTATGGCTGTTTGCAGCACCTTGGAGTCACATAACCATGATTTGTGATATTTTTGCTGGAAACCGGCATTTATTTCTAGTTTCCAGTAAAACCTATCCCACAGTGAACATTGGAGTTGCTTAACGACCATGGAGTTCACTTAATAAACTCAAAAAATGATCATACGTAGTGATCCGCTTTATGAGCATCACAACTTACAACCAAAGTTGTGGGCTCAGTTACAGTCATAAGTCAAGGACTACCTCTATGGCCTTCTTTCTGTCTCTCCACTTTTTTGAATAGCCGGGCACTTAATGCAGAAGTGGCTTTGTTAATTCGCTTCAAATGCTGTTGGCTAGTATAAGGCGTGAGAATTTCTCCCACAGCCTGGACATCCTTTGTATCCCAATCAGTTCTTAAATGAGCAGTGGTGACACAGTGGTCCGAATGCAGTATTGCAGGCTAATTCTGCCCACTGCCAGCAGTTCGATCCTGACCAGCTCAAGGTTGACTCAGCCTTCCATCCTCCCGAGGTCAATAAAATGAGGAGCCAAGTTGTTGGGGGCAAAACGCTGACTCTGTAAATCGCTTAGAGAGGGCTGTAAAGCACTATGAAGTGGTATATAAGTCTAAGTGCTATTGCTAAATGGTTCTCTGACTGACCTTGCAAAGCTGGCCCTGGAACTGCCTGCCACTTGAGAAAAAACAGACGTGTGGGAGACCCTTAAAAAAACTGCTGGCAGTGACCGAAATCTTGTTTATCATGAGAGGGGGGGGGGATGTAGGGATCAGATGAAATTGTGAATAATGGTGATCATAGATGTGCCTTATAGAAATAAGGTTCTCACACAGAGTTTTCCAGACTTCAGTCTGTCCTCAGGATCCGCAACAGCATGGCGTGGACCTCCTCATCCATGTACCCCTGCATTGGAGAAGAATATCCCCCCAATAATATAAGTGGCACCACAAGAATTTCCCTTCAAAGCAAATGCCAGAAATAAATCTAATATAGATAGATCATAATTGGAAGCCATGATGGTGCAGTAGTTAGTGTGAAGAGAGAGAAGAGAAGAGAGAGAGAAAGAGAGAGAGAGAGAGAGAGAGAGAGAGAGAGAGAGAGAGAGAGAGAAGGAGAAAGAGAAGGAAAGAGAGAGAGAAGGAGAAAGAGGTGGGAGAGAGAAAAGAAGAAAAAGAGGGAGAGAGCACACGAGACAGAGGAAGAGAGAGGGGAGAGAGAAGGAGAGGGAAAGAGAAAACGAAAGAGAGAGAAGGAGAGAGAGGTGGGAGAGACAGAGAAAAAAAGGAAAAGAGAGAGAGCATATGAGAGGGAGAGAGAGGGAGGAAGAGGGAGAGGGGAGAGAAGGAGAGAGGGAGAAAGCAAAGGAGAGAGAAGGAGAGATAGGTGGGAGAGAAAAAAGAAGAAAAAGGGAGAGAGCACATGAGAGGGAGAGAGGGAGGGGGAGAGAGAGAAAAGGAGAGAGGGAGAGAGAGAAGGAGAGAGAGACGTGGGAGAGAGGGAAAAAGAAGAAAAGGCGAGAGCACACGAGGGAGAGGGAGAGAGAGAGGGAGAGAGGGGGGAGAGGAGGAGAGGGGAAGAGGAGGAGAGAGAGACCGAAAAGGAGAGAGGGAGAAAGAGAAGGAGAGAGAGAAGGAGAGGGAAAGAGAGAAGAAAAGAGAGAAGGTGAGAAAGAGGTGGGAGAGAGAAAAAAAGAAAAAGAGGGAGAGAGCACAAGAGAGAGAAGGGGGGGAGAGGGAGAGAGAGGGGGAGAGGAGGAGAGAGGGAGAGAAGGAGAGAGAGAGAGAAAAAAGAAGAAAAAGAGGGAGAGAGCACATGAGAGGGAAAGAGGGAGAGAAGGAGAGAGAGAAAGAGAGAGAGGGAGAGAAGGAGAGAGAGAAAGAGAGAGAGGGAGAGAAGGGCTGGATGTTCCCATCTGTCTTACCTGGGCTGCATTGAGCAGGTGGGTCCTGTATACGGCCACAATCTCTTGGTGGTTCTTTTGCGCAACCTGAAATAAATCAAGAGGGGGGCCGAGAAACGGCCCAGGGGCTCAGCGATCAGCAGCTCAACAGCCCCATACAGGGAGTCCTCAACCTACGACATCCTTTCAGCAACCCAGAGCCTCCCTGACCTCATGCTCTGCATAACGACTGCAATGGGAGAGCTGGAATTGCAGAATTAATGACAGCAACAATTTAATGATAATTCTGGGCTCAATTGTGGTTGTAAGTCGAGAACCTAGGAAAGGGAAAAAACGGACCCAGGAAACTACAGACCAACCAGTGTAACATCAATACCTGGGAAGATCCTAGAAAAGATAATCAAAAAACAGATCTGCGAACAACTAGAAGCAAACAAAGTCATAACTAGTAGCCAGCATGGGTTTGTTAAAACAGATCATGACAAACCAATCTTATTTCATTCTTCGATAAAGTGTCTAAACTAAAAGACCAGCGAAACGCAGTGGACGTAGTATAATTAGACTTCAGTAAGGCATTTGATAAAGTAGACCACAACCTACTCCTTGGTAAGCCTGAAAAAGGTAGAATAGACATCACCACCAGATGGATCTGTAGCTGGCTAACAAACCATACTCAATGAGTAGTCCTCAATGGCACTACATCCACATGGAGAGAAGTAAGTAGTGGGTTACCACAAGGTTCCGTCTTAGGCCCAGTACTCTTCAATATCTTCATAAATGGAGGGAATTGAAGGGGAACTCATCAAATTTGCAGATGACAGCAAACTGGCAGGAGTAGCCAACACCCCAGAAGACAAACTCAGGATCCAAAAAGATCTTGACAAACTTGAACAATGGGCCCTATCCAACCAAATGAGTTTTAATGTGGAGAAAAGCAAAGTTTTACATTTAGGTAGGAAAAATGAAAGGTACAAGTACAGATTGGGCAAGATCTGTCTTAAAGACAGCAACTGTGAGAGGGACCTTGGAGTCCTAGTGGACGATCACTTGACCACGAGCCAGCAGTGTGCAGCAGCAGCCAAAAAAGCTAATACAATCCTGGGTTGTATAAACAGAGGCATAGAATCAAGAACACGCAACATACTAGTACCGCTTTACAAAGCCCTAGTAAGAATACTGCAGCCAATTTTGGTCACTTTATCACAAAAAAGATGTTGAGAGTTTGGAAAAAATTCAGAGAAGAGCAACTAAGATGATCAAAGGCCTGGAGATCAAAACATACAAAGAACGGCTGCGGGACTTGGGTTTGGTTAGTTTGAAGAAAAGAAGAAATAGGGGAGACATGATAGCAGTGTTCCAGTATTTGAGGGGCTGCCACAAAGAAGAAGGAGTCATGTTATTCATCAAAGCACCAGAGGGAAGGACGAGAAACAATGGTTGGAAACTGATCAAAGAGAGAAGCAACCTGGAATTAAGGAGAAAGTTCCTGACAGTGAGGACAATTAACCAGTGGAACAGCTTGCCACCAGAAGATGTGGGTGCTCCATCACTGGAGGTTTGTCTGAAATAGTATAGGGTTTCCTGCTTGAGCAGGGTGTTGGACTAGAAGACCTCCAAGGTCCCTTCCAGTTGTACTCTGATTGACTAACTGGGATTGGGACATTTCATGATTCCCTTCCCAAAGTGGAGCACTGGTTTAGGAGATTTGCAGCATCTCCACAATCTCCTAGAAGCTGCAGGTTCAGGGATGTCCACCAGGACGTGGTCACAAAAGTCAAGATGGCGGTCGTGCTGCTGTGATCAATCCTCCACCTCATCGATCAGAGCTGGAGAGAGATTGCTGAATTTAAACTAGATTCGAGTTTTCTAATCCAGACCGAATACCGTAGTGTAGGGTATTTCTCAATGTTTCAAATTCCTGATTTATTTATTATTTTTTGGCTGCAAAGGCCTGGGTTGGGATCGCCAGGATCAACTTGTTGAAATATGACAAACGCCAGCACTAGAATCGGTTTAGATCCCACGTGTCACACCCCCACATCAAGTCCTACGCGGCTCACCTCGTTCTGCAGGATCAGGCGGGTGCGTTCGCTGCGCAAGTTCAGGATTTCGCTCGAGAGCTTCTCCGTCTCCTTCAGCAGCTTCTTGATCTGAGGGGAAACAAAGCAGACCATACAGGTGGTCCTTGGCTTACGACCACAATGGAGCCCCCAAATTTCTGTTGTTAACTGAGACAGTTGTTAAGTGAGAATTTTCCCATTTAATGACCTTTCTTGCCACAGTCGTTAAGTGAATCACTGCAGTCGTTAAGTTAGTAACGTGCTGGTTAAGTGAATCCGGCTTCCCCCTTGACTTTGTTTGTCAGAGGGTCACACAACATGCGATCACGTGACCCCAGGATATTGCAACCGTCATAAATAGGAGTCGGTTGCAGGTTCTGAAGTTCCAATGCTTGCTCTGCCCCCACCCCGTGGTCACATGATCGCCTTTTGTGTACTTGGCAACATGGCTGCATTTACAGCTGTTTGCAATGCCCCGCGTCCTGTGAGTGTGTTGTACAATATTTTGGGGGAAGGTGTCACTCAACCCCTTACTTTGCACCCACAGCAAACCATTGGCTCATCTCACAAGAATGTTCGCTTAGTGACTGCTGCAAAAAAAGTCATAAAATTGGGTAACCGACTGGATTTACAACCATCATGGCTTATTCAAGGACTCCCTGTGGGGAGATTGTGGTTCATACACAAAGGAGTGTAAATCCTTCCCTTCCCCAGCCTCCAGTCAGAGCTGAGGAAGCTTCTTGGACGAGAAGCGAAATGTCTTCAAAGAAAAACAAGATAATCCAGTCGCGTCTTGAAAAAGTACCTTTGGGCTAACTATGACCTGGAAGACTGAGGATCTCCACAGATCTCATTCATACACAAAGAACCACCGGATTCTTGTGCTGCACACCTGTGTGAATATGGCCCACTCCTCTGGTAGCCTCAATGCTCCAGAATCTCGGGGTGACCCATGGCTTCCTCAAAACACTAAGTATTTTCTACGTAAGTATTTAATACTAAGTATTAGTACCCCTTTATAAAGCCTTAGTAAGACCACACTTGGAATCCTGCATCCAGTTTTGGTCACCACGATGTAAAAAAGATGTTGAGACTCTAGAAAGAGTACAGAGAAGAGCAACAAAGATGATCAGGGGACTGGAGGCTAAAACCTATAAGGAACGGTGGCTGGAATTGGGTATGTCTAGTTTAATGAAGAGAAGGACAAGGGGGGACAGGATAGCAGTCTTCCAGTATCTCAGGGGCTGCTCCAAAGAAGAGGGAGTCAAGCTATTCTCCAAAGCACCTGAAGGCAGGACAAGAAGCAACGGGTGGAAACTAATCAAGGAGAGAAGCAACCTAGAACTAAGGAGAAACTTCCTGACCGTTAGAACAATTAACCAGTGGAACAACCTGCCTCCAGAAGCGGTGAATGCTCCAACACTGGAAGTTTTTAAGAAGAGACTGGACAGCCATTTGTCTGAAATGGTATAGGGTTTCCTGCCTGAGCAGGGGGTTGGACCTGATGACCTCCAAGGTCCCTTCCAACTTTATTATTATTATGATGATGATTAGGGGGCTGGAGGCTAAAACGTATGAAGAACAGTTGCTGGAATTGGGTACGTCTAGTTTAATGAAAAGAAGGACCGAGGTGACATTAGCAGTCTTCCAATATTTGAGGGGCTGCCACAAAGAGTAGGGGGTCAACTTATTTTCCAAACCACCCAAAGGCAAGACGAGAAACAATAGATGGAAACTAATCAAGGAGAGAAGCAGCCTGGAATTAAGGAGAAACTTCCTAACAGTGAGGACCATCAACCAGTGGAACTGCTTGCCTCCAGAAGTTGTGGGTGCTCCATCACTGGAGGCTTTTAAGAAGAGACTGGACAACCACCTGTCTGAAATGGTACAGAGTTCCCTGCTTGAGCAGGGGGTTGGACTAGAAGATCTCCAAGGTCCCTTCCAACTCTGTGATTCTGTTAAAAGTTGCCCCTCACCCTTCGGTTCTTACCTTGATGTCTCTCTCCTGGCACATCTTGGCGATATCGTCCACCTTCTTATTCAGCTTGTCCACCGTGCCCTCCAACTTCTGGGACTTCCCTCTCAGCTCTTCCACTTCCTCCTCATGCTCCAGAGCTTCGGCCATCAGGTCTTGAGTCTTCTGCTGTTCACGGCCAAGGGCTTCCCTGTGACGGGCAGATGCTCCACTGGCTTGCTCGTATTTCTCCCGGAGGGCCGCCAGCTCCTCCCCTAGGACCTGAGCCCTGGTGGACAGCATGCTGCAGATCTTCTCATACTTGCTAAGGACCTGCTCCTCCTCCTGGCGCAGATCAGCCATCTGGGCCAGGACTCGGTCCAGGAGCTGCATCAGGCTGACCACCTGGATGCCTCCTGGAGTCCCTTGAGATGCAACCAGCAACTTCTTCATCTCCTGCAAGCCTTTCTCCAGTTCCACCATCTGCTCTCGGACTCTCCAGTTTTCTCCGATGACCTCGGAGGCCTCCAAGAAGATCTCTTGATCAGGTTTGTCCCTGCCAGGGCTCCTGGGATCCGGCGGGAGGCTTCGGTCAACCTGCAGGGCATGGTTCTCCTCTTCCATCTCGGACACCAGCTGCAAAGCTTCGTTCTGCTTCCTCACCACATTGTCCAGCTTCCAGTGGAGCTCCTTCAAGATGCAGCTGTCTAGGTTTTCGCCAACTATACCGCTGGCCTCTTGGCTCACCTTCTTGAGGAAGTTGTTCCTCACAAACATCATCTCCTTCCTCTGCTCCTCCAGCTTCAGGCGCAGCTTCCCCGATTCCTCTTTCTCCAATGAGAGCTCGTGGGACAAGAACTCCACGGTCCGTTTCAGCTCTTCCATCAGGCGCTCGGTCTTCTCCGCCCGAGGAGAACCCTCTTTGGGGCCATGTAGCTTCTGAAGTTCTCCCTGAAGCTTCTCCCTTTCCCTGCTCAGCTGGGCCAATTCTTGGACCAGGCCACCATTGTTCTGCTTGAGGTCCCACACCTCCTTCTCCAGGTCAGAGCTTCTCCGGCACGGACGGGCCTTGCTTTCCACCACCTCAGATTTTGGCCTGAGTTTCACCTGCCCCACAAGACCATTATGGAGCTGGGGCTTTTCTACCCCACCTTTCTGCAGCTCCTCGGGGGTCTCCGAGTGGCCCGGCTCGTGACCACAGCCGTTCTTCTCTTCTTCAGGAAGGCCATTGCCGTTGACCAAGGTTTTGGAAGGAGACTCCAAAATGGCTTCCTGAAGAGGTCGGGCCTTGTCCAGGAGAGCAGTACAGGCCTGCTCCAGCTTGGCCAGAGCCCCCTCCAGGCCGGCGACCACCTTCTTCCAGGCCGAGATGCACTTCTTTACTGCGCCAGATGGCACCGCTTGGAATTGCAGCCTGCTGCGGACAGCGTCCTCGGCTTCCTTCTTCAGGTCCTCGTTTTCGGCCAGCATGGCCGCCATCTCCTCCCGGGCCCGGGCCTGGATCTCCTCCATCTCCTTCATGCACTGGGCCACCTTTGCCTGGGCAAGGCTGCTCTCGGGGGGCCCGGCCAGGTGTTTTGCCAGGAGTCCCCGCAGCTTTTGGTTCTCATCGCCCAACTGCAGCGCCCGGGCCTCCATCTCCTTGAGGGCCGCGCTCTGCGACTTCTTCTTGGCTTCGAAGACCCCGATGACGGCCCTCATGTTCTCCATGTGCCCCTCCATCTCTTCCACCCGCCTGGCCGCGCTGGCCTTCTCCTCCAGGGCTGCCTGCAGCTCACTTTGCAGGCGCTTCAGCTCCTCCGACTCCTCCTCGCCAGGCCACTGGACCCTCCCGGGCTGGAGCCTGGTGGGACTGGCCATCAGCTCTGGCGTTGAAGCTTTGGGCAGCTCCTTCTCTGCTTCCTGCTGCTTCTTCCTCTCCTTCAGCTCTCGCACTTGCTGGGCCAGAAGGTCCAGGCAGTGGTCCTCCTCCATGTGGTCGCGGCTGTGGCACCGACTCGGCTGCCGCCAGTCGCGATTCCGGCCCTCCCGATCCGGCAGGATCTGGCTGATCTCCTGCACTTGGTCCCAGACCTTCTCCTTCAAGGACTGGCTCCCCATGGAGAGGGCCTGGCACTCTTTCGTCTTTTGGTCCAGCTGCAGCTCCAGCTGGATCACTTTCATCTTTTCCTCCCGGAATCGGCTCCGCCATTCCCGTAACTCGGGGCCTTCCTCCGCCTCTTCTTCATCGTCGCTCTGGTCTCCCGCCTCGCTCTGGAAAGCCAGGCTGCTCACGTCGGTCTCCTTCCCGCTCTCCGAGGGCACCTGCGCGAAAAGGGACAGAGATCACCTGGGGGTCACCTGCTCCTGATGTGCGGCTTTCCCAGCCAGTTTCTGACAAGCAAAGTCAATGGAGGAAGCGGGATTCGCTTAACGACCACCTGATTCATTTAACAACTGCTTAACAACTACAGGTGGTCCTCAACTTGCAACCATTCATTTAGCCATGGTTCAAAGTTACAACGGTGCTAAAAAAAAAAGGGACTTAAGACTGGTTCCCATCCTCATGGTCACATGATCAAAATTTGAGCGCTTGGCATCTATTTACAATGCTTACATTATCATGTGATCCCCATTCACGAATATCCCAGCCAGCTTCTGGCAGGCAAAATCAAAGGAGGAAGCAGGATTCTCTTAACAACCACCTGATTCACTTAACAACCACCTGATTTGCTTAAGAACTGCGGTGATTTGCTTAACTACAGGAAGTCCTCAGCTTACGACAGTTCATTTAGTGACTGTTCAAAGTTACAGCAGCAGTGACAAAAGTTACCTATTGCTGTTTATCACAATTATCACCATTGCCGCATCCCCAAAATTTGGACTGTTGGCAACTGGCTCATATTTATGACGGTCGCAGCGCCCCGGGGTGACGTGATCCCCTTTTGTGACCTTCTGACAAGCAAAGTCAATGGGGGAGCCGGATCCACTTAACAACCGTGATAGTAACTCAACAACTGCAGCGATTCGCTTAAAAACGGTGGCAGGAAAATGGGGCTGTCTTGCATAACAACAGAAATTTTGGGCTCCGTTGTGGTCGTAAGTCGAGGATTACCTGTATGGTGGTACAAAGCCAGGAGGAGTTCCTAATGTTCGGGACTCAACTCTCAGCTCCTGTCAAGATTTTTAACATGCCTCCCAACATCAAAAGTGGTAAAGAGCGATGGAAAATTGGTCCTCCATGCAGGTAGTCCTCAACCTATGACAATTGAGCCCCAAATTTATGTGGCTAAGTGACACATTTGTTAAGTGAGTTTTGCCCCATTTTACAACTTTTATTGCCATATTTGTTAAGTGAATCATTGTAGTTAAGTTAGTAACCTGGTTAATAATAATAATAATAATAATAATAATAATAATAATAATAATAATAATAATAATAATAATAATAATAATAATAATAATAATAATAGTAATAATAATGATGATGATGACAACGATGATGATGATGATAATAAAGTTGGAAGGGACCTTGGAGGTCATCTAGTCCAACCCCCTGCTCAGGCAGGAAACCCTATACCATTTCGGACAAATGGCTGTCCAGTCTCTTCTTAAAAGTTAGGCTTAAGTTAAGCTTCCCCCATGGACTTTGCTCGTCAGAAGATCACATGACCCCGGGACACTGTGACCGTCATAAATGCGAGTCAGTTGCCAAGCATCCGAATGTAAATCACATGACCATGGGGGATGCTACAATGGTCATAAGTCTGAAAAATGGTCATAACTCACTTTTTTCAGTGCCCTTGTAACGTCGAACCGTCACTAAGTGAACTGTTGTAAGTTGAGGACTACCTATACAGATTTGAAATTAACCCTGAGATCAGGGAAGCTTTTCTGCTAATCTGACCACATGCAAGTCAGGAGGGCATGAAAATTCCAGCCAGAAAAAGAGGGAAACAGACTCTTCAGGAGGAAATCCAGGTAGTCCTCAATTTATGGCCCCAAGGGAGCCTCTGCCCATCCGAGTCTTAATTCGTGACAGTCCTAATTCAGGTCATCCATGTCAGGGCTTTTCAACCAGTGGCACGGGTACCACCTGGGGTACATTGGCACCTGGCAGGTGGTACGCGACAATCCTAGAAAAGTGGTAGCGGGGGAGGGGAATGAGCTGAACCGGTGGCAGCACCGCACAAGCCCGAGCGAGAGACGGCTGGAGCTGCAGGGCTGGCAGGGCTTAGCGGAAGCGCCAGGATCAGTGCGGCTTTCCAGCTGATCGGCGCTTCTTCGGGGCTGTCAGGGCTCAGCGGAAGCACCAGGATCAGCGCCAGGCTCCAGCTGGAACTTGGCACTGATCCTGGCGCTTCTGCTGAGCCCAGAAGAAGCACCAATCAGCTGGAATGTTGCAGCCTCTCCAGGGTCTTGTGATTTACATTCAGATGCTTGGCAACTGATTCATATTTATGACGGTCACAGTGTCCCAGGGTCATGTGAAGTGACCAAAACCTGCTGCAACCACCCAGCAGACAGGGGGGGGGAATAAAAACCAAACACCCCCCACCCCACCCCCACTGCCAATCCTCAACAGAAATGCTCACAACAATGAAAACCTCGGACAGGAGGAAGAGCGTCGCTGGGCGGGCAGGCAGGTGTCTTGCTCTGCTGTGGCTCGGGGGGGGGCTTTTTTCAGTGCCATTGTAACTTCAGTCACTAAGCGAACTGTTGTAAGTCGAGGACTACCTGTACTTTATCACTTTTTTCCTTTTTTTTTTTTTTTGGGTCAAGATTTTGACCCCTTGCTAGGCGACTGGTGGTACTCGGATGTTGCCATATCCTAAAAGTGGTACAATGGGTGAAAAGATTGAAAAGCTCTGATCCATGTGACCAACCCAATTTTACACCCTTTTTGGCAGCGGTCGTTGAGGGAATGCTTGGTTGTTAAGAGATCCAATGAGCTTGTTTGCCTGAAAACTGGAAGTACAATTCCAGATTCCCACAAAACTCTTGTAAAATGCAGTCCAGTCATGGGACCGTGGGACACTGCAGCGGACGTAAGTTAAGGACTACCTGTATAAGGACGATGAAGAGTTTGGAAGTCACTGCTGCATTGTACAAGGGAGTAAAAAAAAAACAAAACCCAAAAAACCCCAAATTGCTAGTGTTAAAGAACTTTTAAAAAAAAAACAACCCTGGTTCTTTTAATCCGTTAATGGCTGCACTTACCTGGGAACCAGTTTCTGACGAATCAAATATCCCCAGTTCTGTGGAAAGAGAAAGACCAAAGGTGAACGGGCCGAATATATTTGTCTGGGACGTCAGGTTCTTTTACAGGGCTGGGGGGGGGCTTCTCTGCCAGGTTTCTGGGGACCTCTTTGCTGCTTTTGTGAACTTTGCATGGGCTCCATCCACTGGTGGAAAATCACGCAGTGTTTCATCTCTCTCTCTCTCTCTCTCTCTCTCTCTCTCTCTCTCTCTCTCTCTCTCTCTCTTTCATCTCTAATCTATCTATCTCTAAAACATTTATCTATCTATGTCCGTCTGTCTGTCTATTTCTATCCATCTATCCATCCATCCATCCATTATATCTCTCTCTCTCTCTCTCTCTCTCTCTCTCTCTATCTATCTATCTATCTATCTATCTCTATCCATCTCTCTATCTCTCTTATCTATCTATCTATCTATCCATCCATCTATCCATCTATCCATCTATCCATATCTATCTATCTATCTATCTATCTATCTATCTATCTATCTATCTATCTATCTATCTATCTATCTATCTATCTATCTATCTATCCATCCATCTATCCATCTATCCATATCTATCTATCTATCTATCTATCTATCTATCTATCTATCTATCTATCTATCTATCTATCTATCTATCTATCTATCTATCTCTATCCATCTATCTCTCTCTCTTTCTATCCAAATCTATCTATCTCTCTATCTCTCTCTCTCGCTATCTATCTGTCCGTCCGTCCGTCCGTCCGTCCGTCCGTCCGTCCGTCCGTCCGTCCGTCCGTCCGTCCGTCCGTCCATCTATCTATCTATCTATCTATCTATCTATCTATCTATCTATCTATCTATCTATCTATCTATCTATCTATCTATCTATCTATCTATCTATCTATCTATCTATCTATCTATCTATCTATCTATCATCTAACAAACGTCTCACTTAGCAACAGAAATTTTGAGCTCAATTGTGGTTGTAAGTCAATGTCCCCACCCCCCCGAGTCCTTTTTGTCTCTAGACTGCCCAAACCCAAATCCTGCAACCGTTCTTCATATGTTTTAGTCTCCAGGCTTTTAATCATCTTGGTTGCTCTTTTTTGCACTTTTTCCAAAGTCTCAACCTCTTTTTTGTAATGTGGTGACCAAAATTGGATGCTGTATTCCAGATGTGGCCTTACTAAGGCTTTATAAAGCGGTACTGATACTTCACATGATTTTGATTCTATGCCTCTCTTTATACAACCAAGGATTGTATTGGCTTTTTGGGCTGCTGCTGCACACGGCTGGCTCACGTTTAAGTGATTAAGGACTCCAGAGTCCCTCTCACAGTTACTGTGTTTGATCCAAGTTTCACCTAATCTGTACTTGTACCTTTGGTTTTTCCTGCCCAGGTCAATGGGGGAAGCCAGATTTGCTCAATGACCATATGATTCTCTTAATAACTGTGGCCAGAAGGTCATAACATCAGGGGGCATTCACTTAACTCATTAATTAACTGACCCTAACCCTAACTCTAATTATCTAAGCCTTGCATGGCAACGGGAAGTCTGATCCCAGCTGTGCCCATAATTTGAGGACTATCTATAGAGGCATCACACGTACCTATAATGTATACAGGTATCTCAAATGAATGATGGAAATGTACATGTAAAGAAGGGACTTTTTATCATTCATGGTGGACATGTGATAAAGCAAAGAAATATTGGAGTAGGGTTCATATTTTAATGCAGAAAATTCTTAAAGTGAATATAAAGTTTAAACCAGAAACTTTTCTTCTGGGTCTAATGGAAAAAGATTTGGGGGGAAAAATTGGAACTCTGATTTTATATATATATGTTGATGGCAGGAGGACTACTCAATGCATAAAACTGGAAGGATGTTTCGATTCCCACTATGGACGAATGGCTACAAAAGCTGATGGAATTAGCAGATATGGCTAAATTAAAAGAAAAGAATACAAGTTCTTTTGCTTTCTGCTTGGAAACCGCTTCTGGACTTTGTGCTTGAGGTGGGAAAAAATGCTACTATGATTTTGAGTTTTAGTGATTAAATTGATTTGTTGATATAGAAATGGCTAGTTCAGGGGTAGGCCACCTTGGCTCTTTTAAGACTCGTGGACTTCAACTCCCAGAATTCCTCAGCCAGCATGGCTCAGCTTGGAAACCTCTCCCTTTCCCCTCAGCGTGGCTGGCTCAGGAATTCTGGGAGTTGAAGTCCACCAGTCATAAAAGAGCCAAGGTGGCCTACCCCTGGTCTAGACTCTAGGCCACTTTATGACTCATGGACTTTAATTCCCAGAATTCCTGAGCCAGCCTGGCTCAGCTTGGAAACCTCTCTCTTTCCCCTCAGCATGGCTGGCTCAGGAATTCTGGGAGTTGAAGTCCACGAGTCATAAAAGAGCCAAGGTGGCCTAACCCTGGCTAGTTCATACTAATATAGAAATGCAAAAAGTTGAGGTTCGATGTTTACGTCTTATTTTACTGCAACAGAGTCAGAATTCAATGCCTGTTTTTCCTTTCCCCACCCCCTTTTCCCCACTTCTCTTTTTCCCTTTCCCTTACTCTTGTTCCCTTTGCTTTTGCATTTTGTATTTTATATTATATATTATTATATATTATTATATATTATTACATTACATTACATTATATTATACATTATTTATATATTATATATTATATTATAAGTGTATTAAAAAAAATTACTGAGGGGGGGAAAAAAGAGGTATCACACATACCAATTAACACAGCTTTGCTACCAAATTGACACAAGCAGCGATTTCTCCACCCGGGTCCCCCATACCTCGTTTTTTCCACTTCTTCAAGGCAGTCCGGACCTGTCTCCGGAGAACCCGGTTCTTACTCCGCATGGCGTAGTAAACGGCATCGTGGCCTGTCTGGTCCATCAAAGCCACGTTGGCTCCGTTCTGCAGAAGCAAGTCAGCTGCCTCCACGCCCCCAGTTTCGCAGGCAAGGATGAGAGCCGTCCTGAGCAAAACGGGTAGAGATTGTGTGTTTGTGTGAATGCTTTTGCCTCGTGAGTGCCAAAAAGCAGGGACCTCCCCAAGAAGTCCTGAAAAGTTATTATTATTATAATAATAATAAAGTTGGAAGGGACCTTGGAGGTCATCTAGTCCAACCCCCAAGTTTAATGAAGAGAAGGACAAGGGGGGACATGATAGCAGTGTTCCAATATCTCAGGGGCTGCCACAAAGAAGAGGGAGTCAAGCTATTCTCCAAAGCGCCTGAAGGCAGGACAAGAAGCAACGGGTGGAAACTAATCCAGGAGAGAAGCAACCTAGAACTAAGGAGAAACTTCCTGACAGTGAGAACAATTAACCAGTGGAACAACCTGCCTCCAGAAGTGGTGAATGCTCCAACACTGGAAGTTTTTAAGAAGAAAATGGACAGCCATCTGTCCGAAATGGTGTAGGGTTTCCTGCCTGAGCAGGGGGTTGGACTAGATGACCTCCAAGGTCCCTTCCAACTTTACTATTATTATTATTATTATTATTATTATTATTATTATTATTATTATTATTATTATTATTATTATTATTATTATTATTATTATTATTATTATTATTATTATCATTTCAGACAAATGGCTGTCCATTCTCCTTTTAAAAACCTCCAGTAATGAAGCACCCACAACTTCTGGAGGCAGGTTGTTCCACTGGTTAATTGTTCTCACTGTCAGGAAATTTCTCCTTACTTCAAGGTTGCTTCTCTCTTTGGTTAGTTTCCATCCGTTGCTTCTTGTCCTGCCTTCAGGTGCAGTATATTTAACAATATAACACAGTTGGAAGGGACCTTGGAGGTCTTCTAGTCCAACCCCTTGTTCAAGCAGGAGACCTTAACCACAACTGAGCCCAAAATGTATGTTGCTAAGTGAGAACTTTTGTATGTGACTTTTGCCTTGGATTCACTTAATGACCATGTTACTAACTTAACTACAGTGATTCAACTTAACAAATGTGACGAGCAAAGTCGCAAAATGGGAGAAAACTCGCTTCACACATTTCTCACTTAGCAACTTAAATTTTGGGGCATAAAATGGGGGCAAAAAGTCAATGTCTGGCTTAGCCGCAGAAATTTTGAGCTCAATTGTGGTCGTAAGTCGAGGACTCCCTGTGATCACCAGTCTACACAGGACTGGACTGGTACGAATGTACCCCAATAATATAATGTACTACCTGTGTTGTAATAATAAAGTCTGTTTTTTTTAAAGGAAAAAAAAGGAACTCTCCTCCACTTGCCACAGAGATGAATTTGGACCTCAGGGAGTAGCTGGTGCAATTCTTCCCACATCTGGTCCCACCTCTGGATTTGAGGGACACCTAGTTCTCTAGGCTAATAAACCTTTTGCATGTCCCAATTCCAGGTTGCTGAATTCTGTGGCCTGCCTCGCAGGGTGGGTGTTTGCAAACGAGAGACTCACTTGCCATCCTTATCCAGGAGGTCGACTTTGGCCCCTCTCTGGAGCAGCTGAGAGCAGATGGCCGTCTGGTTCCCCTGCGCCGCGATCATCAGGGGGGTCCGCTCATTCTGGAGCCAACAGGAGACATCAAAAAACTCAATTTTGGGCCCAAAGCGGGGAACAAAGAACAGGACCAAATTAAGGATGAGCAGGGGCTGGTTCCAGAACCCATCATGCACTCCCATGATGGCCAAATCTGGCCCATCGGAAGATCATTTAAAACCAATTTATTGCAGTACTTTGATAAAGTGGGGGTCTCCCTCTGAAAAAGGGGAGCCTGCAAAAATGACTTAGGGTCGCTTTTATCATTAATCCAACAAAGAACTTCAAAGTAAAAGTTGATTGTGACCTTCACAAGAAAAGTCATTGGGGAAACCAAATTCACTTAACAACTGTGTTCCTAACTCAACAATGTCGGTGATTCACTTAACAACAGGGGATAAGGTTGTAAAATGGGGCAAAATTCTTACTTAGTCAGAGAAATTTTGGGCTCAATTGTGGTCATAAGTCGAGGACTTTCTGCACCGGCTAGTAGTTAACAGTTCAGAGAACCCACCCACTGGCCTAAGACCCTGGGAAAATGTATATGGACTTCAATTCCCAGAATTCCCCAACCAGCAGGGAGAACGTACACACACCTGCCAGAATACTTTGGACAAAAATCCATATATTCTTATGTACAAGGTATAAATTTGCATTCGGTTGGGGGAAAGTATCTGCAAAAATAATAGATGATATGGAAAATTGCAAACAAATTAGCAAGCACCAAAATGCTTTTAAAATTCAATCTGAACTTTCTTCTTCTTCTATTTTTTTTTTTTACAAAAGCCTTTAATTATAAAAAAAGAATACAACAGGGAAAAAAGGAGACCAAAACAAGAAAATGACATATGGATCATTTCACTTGATAAGTTTTTCTCAAGTTTCTTAGCTTTATTTTTAAAGTTCAGGCTGCAATGAAATATATACGATTTTCTCATGAATGTATATACGTGTATGCATATATAGATATACATACACATATACATATTACCTGATAGTTTCAATTCCATTAAAATATATAGTAGGAATATTTCTCAGCAAAGATGAGGCATTTTAAAAGAAGTTATTGTCGCCCACTTTTATAGATTAGCAAAAACGAGCAAGAAAATGATAAAATGAAATGGGCAGATTTACCCTTAAGTAACTACCATTGTGATCTGATTCAGCTTTCCCCAATCTGGAGGGTGGAGTTTTTTTTCCATTTTCCAATGGAGTTTTACTTCCCATAAAATAGTATTATTTACTACTCAGCTCATAAAAAAAGAGTACCTTCCAATAATCAAAAATAGTCAATAGAAAAGAGTCTTGAGCAACTAAGTTAGTAAATCACTTACCTTATCGGTGACATCAAGAAAAGCTTCTTGGTCACAGAGAAGCAACACACTGGAGGCACAGCCAGATAAAGCTGTTGGTGGGATTAAAACAGTGTTTAAATGTTGAAAACGTCAGCTTTCTACAATGTGCCCATCACAGTAAATGCCATTTTCAGAACCAAATTTAATAGACCACTGTAAAAAAAAAAAAAGTATTGTAGCAAATATTACTAATCTCTGCTAAACATCATAAACCCTACATTTTTCTTTTCTTTTTTTTTTTTGAAAAATAAAGAAGGAATGTATCACTAGCAAACACACACTTACTCAAAAGTAAGTCTCTGTGAAATCTGTAGGAAAATGGTTGGCCTTAATTTCAGCCTCCAACTTCAAGAGGCTCCAACCCTCTGTCTTCATTCATGGGACTTCACATGAGATGGGCGTTAATGAACTTTATTTATTAAATTTATACGCCACTCATCTAGTTTGTATTCCATTTGTAACCCTCCTGTTCTTTCCATCTTTCTTTTCAACTCACTCTCCCAGCACAATTTTAATTTATTTAGCATATGGCATTTACAGAGGTCATGCAGTCACTGTTATAAAAATGTATTTAAATAAAGCGATATATATTGTACATAGATATATTGTACATATGTACATATACCATATAAATTGTAAGATACAAGCAACAAAGTACATTTACTTCCTTATGTGTCCAAACCCACTTGGGATGGGGGATAGATGGAAAGAACAGGAGGGAAGGGTTACAAATGGAATACAAGCTAGATGAGTGGCATATAAGTTTAATAAATAAAGTATATGTGTTTGTATTTGTGTTTGTGTGTGTCTGTGTGTCTGTATGTATATATGCACATAGATGCATATATACATATACAAATACATATACATACATACATACATACATACATACATACATACATACATACATATATCCAAATTTCTTTTTCTGACAAAGAGTTAAAGAATTAAATCGGGAGACTAAGATGGCCATTTCTAGCTTGTTCTGCTTTCATCAGTTAGCCATACCCTTTATGGGATTCGAACCTGGGCAGTTTACATACTAGGCAGTGATTCAACCACCAGCCACAGGCTCTCCTCCCCTCTTTGCCATAAATCATATGGTTTTACCTTTATTTTAATATTTTATCTCTGATATTGTATTGTCCATCATCTATCTATCTAAAATATTAAACTAAGATAAAAAAACATAACAAAATTTCATAATACAGAGCCATAGAATTACAATTAATTCTCCCAGCACAATTAGTTCACAAGAAAAGCTCAGAACAGCTACACAGGTTTGGTACAAAACCTTCTGCTACCATTTTTAATATCAGAAGCAGAGCAATTGAATAATTAATCTCCCAGGTTTAACTAATTTAATGTATGTGGTTTATGATTAAATGTAAATCAAATGCAGGATGTGTCCAGGCCTTCATTTTCTCACCCTTCTCTAATGTTTGTGTCTCCCCAAACATGCCAGTAAGAATCTGTAAAAAAAAGTTTTGCAACCCTGGGCTATAGTTGCAATATGGCTTGCTTGTTTAGCAAGGTGTGTCAGCTCAGCCAGTGTGGTTTGTGACTACAGCTTTAAAAGAAACTGTAGTTAAATAAACCATAGCTTAGTGCAATGTGGGAAACCATGAGTAGTTTTAAAACAACTGGCTGGACTCCATGAGTTGAAGGCGCAGAAAAAAAATTGCAGCAACGAAAAATAATAACTACTGTAAATAAATAGTTCTAAAATGCTGCAAATAGTTCTACTGCAAGAATTCTCCGGATTCTGCTCACAGGCGATTAAAGATGCAAGTGATGTAATTTAACATCTGCATTTACTTAAAACCAAGCATGAAATTATAGCGAGGCAATTAAGTGGATTTATGATGGAAGCTCAAAGCTGCATCAGTATTTTTTTTTTTTTTTTGCTCTCTTTGCAAATTCTGTGGGAGGCTTTTGCCAACATGTCTGCAAAACTTTAGAGCTAAGCAATTGGTGCTCACCTGTTTGAAAAGGTAAGCAAAGCTTGGTTTACCTGTTAGCTTTGCTATGGAAGATGTGAATGCAGACAACCTGACCAGCCTCCTTCAGCAGGAGATGGATCTATGCAAGCCTCACACACCCTCGAAAGACACCAGGACGTGTTCCAGCGTGTCCTGATGCTACTTTTAAAAATCCATCCCTTTTCTTGACTGCTTTTATAGCAGATGTTATGGGCCAATCAGAGCTCTAGCATTCTATCAATGTATTTGCAGGATATGATACTAGTTTCCCTTAAGGGTCACAGCTGGAGGAAAGGGGTGGGCACTTGCATAAAAGCGAAGTAACATAGCCCTGGAGTTCCCAACCACACAACTTGATGTTGTGAAACTGACTAGATCGTGTTCCCTGATAAAATACAATTATGAAATTGATGAGAGAACCAAGCATTCTCAGGGGAAGTTACTCAGAGGCTGCAACCCTAATGAATCTGAGCAGAGAGCAGAGGCAGGATGGTACTGGAAGCAAAGAAGGATCTAAGTTGGTTAGGGCTTGAATAGGATGGGAGACCACCTGGGAATCCCAAAGCTGGAGGTTCATTGGGGAATTCAAATAACACCCCCAAAGAATAATAGAATAACGCAGTTGGAAGGGACCTTGGGGGTGTTCTAGTTCCAACCCCCTGCTTCAAGCAGGAGACCCTATATCAGAGTGGCTGTCCAGTCTCTTCTTAAAAGCCTCCAGTGATGGAGCACCCACAACTTCTGGTGGCAAGCTGTTCCACTGGTTAATTGTTCTCACTGTGAGGACATTTCTCCTTAAATTTAGGTTGCTTTTCTCCTTGATTAGTTTCCATTCATTGTTTCTTGTCCTTCTGGTGCTTTGGAAGATATGTGGACCCCCCTCTTCTTTGGGGCAGCCCCTCAAATATTGGAAGACTGCTATCATGTCTCCCCTGGTCCTTCTTTACACTAGACTGGACGTACCCAATTCCTGCAACCTAAGTAAGTTTTAGCAGCCAGCCCCCTAATAAGTTTTGTTGCTCTTTTCTGCACACTTTCTAAAGTCTTTTTTATAGTAAAGAGAAAGCCACTTCTGTCCTGATGGAGGGATCTAAGAACTAGATTCAAGAGACTCTCTGGTGACTTGGTAGGATGCCTGGAAAAACGTATTATTCATGTTTAAGTTCTGCTAAGGTGTGCACAACTGCAGATTATCAACGGGCTGTTTAAAAAGCAGCAATAGCCCTTCCTCTTATGTGATTGTGCTGTTCCTATGAAAAAGCTGTTGCACTTGGAAGAAATGTTTAATCTGGGAGGAAAAAGCCATGGAAGTTCACAGAATCCTAAGACTCACCAGCCCAATGTAGAGGTGTACGGTTCTCTCCATCCACACAGTCCTCATTTGCTCCGTGCTGTGAGAAAAAAGGGAAGTATAATCCTTGCTGTAATACATGTCTAATATCCTATGTTCTAATAGCTTTCAATTTAAAAAAAATAGCAAGAATATAACATGAAACATAAGACTGATTTTTTTCCCTACAATTAAACTCATCCCACAAAATTGTGAAATTAGTCACTGCCAAATAAAAATAATAATCTATTTTTCCACTTGGGGATTTTCTCTAAAAACTCTATTCCTACAGAGGTGCCAGAAAAACAGAGTTGGGGGTCTCTTCAAATGTTGGAATCATTGGCTATCATGTCACCCCCAGCCCTCCTTTTTTTTCTAGACTAGACCTACCCAATTCCTGCCATCCCAGTCTCCCAATCCTATCATCTCTTCTAGATTTTTTTTTCTCTGCACGCCCAATTCTCTTGCAGCTAAATTGCATCAGGTATCTGAAACCCATACACAAGGTGGTATGTGAACGTTAACAGAATAACAGAGCTGGAAAGGACCTCGGAAGGTCATCTAGTCCAACCCCCTGTTCAGGCAGAAGACCCTATACCAGAGGTCCCCAACCTTTTGGGCAGCAGGGACTGGTTCCGTGGAGAGAAGTTTTTCCATGGACCAGACAGGTGGTGGTTTTGTGTGCTGCCTGCATCCCGTGGATGTGGCTTTGCTTGTTTGTGTGGACCAGTTGCTGGCATGCCACGGACCGGTACCGGTCCACAGACCGGGTGTTGGGGACCCCTGCCCTATACCATTTCAGACAAATGGTTGTCCGATCATTTCTTGAAAAGCCTGCAGTGATGGAGCACCCACAACTTCTGGTGGCAAGCCGTTCCACTGGTTAATTGTCCTCACTGTCAGGAAATTTCTCCTTAGTTTTAAGTTGCTTCTCTCATTCATTAGTTTCCATCTGTTGTTTCTTTTCCTCCTTCAGGTGCTCTGGAAAATAGGTTGTATACAAAAGGGGCGGGGCTTTGGTGGCCACCATCTTCATATTTTTGTTCCCTTTGCCCATATATCAGGTCTTTTGCTTTCCAGGATACTTGAGGGTTTCATTTGTAAACCATGTTTAACTATAACCCTGGGTTATGGGAACACAGGAGCTAAAAAAAAGACCCTGTCAGTCTTCACTTAATGATTATTTGTTTAATGTCCACTTGAAGTTACATCAGGCTTCAAAAAAACCTACTTACAACCATCCTCAAAGTTACAACAGCCACACTTACCCAGGTCACATGATTGCGTTTTGGGCACTTGCATCTGGCTTGCAGTTACAACCAGTTGCAGCATCCAGTGGTCATGTGACTGGGATTTGCAACATGTTTTGCCTTTTTTCTGGAAGAAAATGGCAAAAAATGCCTACAGGTAGTCCTCATCTTATAACTTTTTTGTTCAGTGACCGTTCGAAGCTACAACAGCACTGAAAAAAAAGTGACTTATGACCGTTTTTCACACTTATGACCGTTGCAGCATCCCCATCGGTCACATGACCAAAATTCGGACACTCGGCAACAGACTCATAGTTATGACGGTTTCAGTGTCCCGGGGTCACGCGATCCCCTTTTGTGACCTGACAAGCAAAGTCAATGGGGAAACCAGATTCATTTAACAACCATGTGACTAATTTAACTGCAGTGATTCACTTAACGAATGTGGCAAGAAAAGTCATAAAATGGGGTAAAACTCACTGTATTTGTGCCTTTGGTTTTTTCTGCTTAGGTCAATGGGGGAAGCCAGATTCCGTTAATGACCATATGATTTACTTAACAACCATGGCCAGAAGGTCATAAAATCAGATGGTCATAAAATCAGATGGGATTCACTTAACTCAGAATCAAAATCAGAATCAGAATAAAGCTGGAAGGGACTTTGGAGGTCTTCTAGTCCAGCCCCCTGCTCATTAACTAGCTGACCTTAATCTTAACTCTAATTAACTAAGCCTGATCCCAGATGTGGTCATAACTATCTATCTATAGAGTTATCACACGCACCAACACACACACACACTTTTGCTGCCAAATGGACACAACTAGGGACTTCTCCACCCAGCACCCCATAGCTCGTTTTTTCCCATCTCTTCAAGGAAGTACGGACCTCACTTAGGAACATAAATTCTGGGCTGAATTGTGATCGTAAGCCGAGGACTACCTGTAATGTCTTCCCCTTCTATCCCCTCAGCTAGATAATTTATGAAGATGTGGAAGAGTAGCTGGGTCCAGGGCAGAACCTTGAGGTACCCCACTGCAAGCTTCCCTCCGTGTAGATGTAGCTCCATTAAGGACTACACATTTAATGAAGAGAAGGACGAGGGGGGACATGATAGCAGCCTTCCAGTATCTCAGGGGCTGCCCCAAAGAAGAGGGAGTCAAGCTATTCTCCAAGGCGCCTGAAGGCAGGACAAGAAGCAACGGGTGGAAACTAATCAAGGAGAGAAGCAACCTAGAACTAAGGAGAAACTTCCTGACAGTGAGAACAATTAACCAGTGGAACAACCTGCCTCCAGAAGCGGTGAATGCTCCAACACTGGAGGTTTTTAAGAAGAGACTGGACAGCCATTTGTCCAAAATGGTATAGGGTTTCCTGCCTGAGCAGGGGGTTGGACTAGATGACCTCCAAGGTCCCGTCCAACTTTATTATTATTATTATTATTATTATTATTATTATTATTATTATTATTATTATTATTATTATTGTTGTTGTTGTTGTTGTTGTTGTTGTTGTTGTTGTTGTTTGTTGTTGTTGTTGTTGTTGTTATTATTATTATTATTATTATTATTATTATTATTATTACATTGAGTACGGTTGTTCAGCCAACTGGGAATCCATCTGGTGGTGATTCCGTCTGTTTGTCTATGGAGATTCTCCGTCATCCAGGTCATGGTTGTCTCAAAGATGCTTTTTTTTCAGGAGGCAACTGGACTTTCTTGTTTTTCTTTGAAGACTTTTTGTTTCTCATCCAAGAAGCTTCTTCAGTTCTGACCGGATGGTGGGGAATGGAAGGATTTATACTCCTTGCAGACAGCTGGTCATTTGCATCCTTTTAGAGAGCCGTTGAGGCCACTTGGAGGTTTATCTGTGTCCTCAGTGTCACCTGGGTGGAGTAAATGGGTGTGGACTCTTCTTGGAACTGCTGAAAGGACTTCTGTTGCAGTACTCAGGTGAACTTGAGAACACAGATAAACCCCCAAGTGGCCTCAACGACTCTCTAAAAGAAGGCAAATGACCAGTTGTCAGCAAGGAGTATAAATCCTTCCATTCCCCACCCTCCAGTCAAAGCTGAAGAAGCTTCTTGGATGAGAAGCGAAACATCTTCAAAGAAAAACAAACAACTGGTCATTTGCCTTCTTTTAGAGAGCCGTTGAGGCCACTTGAAGGTTTATCTGTGTCCTCAGGGTCACCTGAATGTGCAAATGGATGGGGAGCCTTCTTGAAATTGCTGAAGGGACTGTGTTCCACTCCCATTTTTTCACTACTCAAATGACCCTGAGGACACAGGTAAACCTCCAAGTGGCCTCAACGGCTCTAAAAAGAAGGCAAATGACCAGCTGTCCGCAAGGAGTATAAATCCTTCCATTCCCCACCCTCCAGTCAGAGCTGAAGAAGCTTCTTGGATGAGAAGCAAAACGTCTTCAAAGACAAAACAAGAAAGTCCAGTTGCCTCCAGAAAAAGAACCTTTGGGACTTGGTCTGTTCTTTAACCAGGTCTTTACCCAAGTTAAGGCAAACCCTCCATGCAGTAATCTCTGGACATAACCTTGCAAGACACGTTAAGAAACAAATAGGAAAAAGAGGGAAAAAAAGAAAGAAATAGATGTAGACGCAGGAGAAACTGTAGCTGTGACACGGTGAAAAATGCTCTATGCACCCCTGCTTTGCACCCGTCGTCAGAAGGGGACTCCCTGGGAGCAAACCGGTGATTTTTACGAGACCCGGATATCTTTGTCAGCTCAGGAATGTGGCCACACAGGCCAGCAGACAAGCCTGAACGTTCCTAGCACAACCTTGTGCAACCACTTGGCTCCGGGTGCTTCTGCCACCACGGCTGGATTGAAACTGCCCCTGGGGACTCTTGCAAAACCGGGCTCTGCAAGCAGCAGGACTTGGGCCCCACACCTCCTCCGCAGCTGCCCAGCCCAATTTATTCATTCGTTTATTTATTTGTGGCTGGAAAATCTGGGCTGTACAATTAGAATTGAAATAAAGGAGTTGGAAGGGACCTTGGAGGTCTTCTAGTCCTGCTTAGGCAAGAAAGTCTACAGCATTTCAGACAAATGGTTGTCCAATCTCTTCTTTAAAAACTTCCAGTGTTGGAGCATTCACCACTTCTGGAGGCAGGTTGTTCCACTGGTTAATTGTTCTAACTCTCAGGAAGTTTCTTCTTAGTTCTAAGTTGCTTCTCTCAATTAGTTTCCATCCGTTGTTTCTTGTGCTGCCTTCAGGCACTTTGGAGAATAGCCTGACTCCCTCTTCTTTGGGGCTGCCCCTGAGATATTGGAACGCTGCTATCATGTCCCCCCTCGTCCTTCTTTTCATGAAACTAGACATTCCCAATTCCAGCAACTGTTTTTTATATGTTTTAGCCTCCAGTCCCCTAATCATCTTTCTTGCTCTTCTCTGCACTCTTTCTAGAGTCTCAACATCTTTTTTACATCGTGGTGACCAGAAACGGATGCCGTATTTCAAGTGTGGTCTTATCAAGGCCTTGTAAAGTGGTATTAACACATCACATGATCTTGAACGTGAAGATGCTTTGTCTTTGGGAATAGAATTACAAAATTACAGAATACTGAATAACAGATTTGGAAGGGACCTTGGAGGTCTTCTAGTCCAACCCGTTGCTCAAGGCAGGAGACCCTGTGCTTTTCCAGACAAATGATTATGCAGTCTCTTCTTGAAAACCTCCAGTGATGGAGCACCCACAACTTCTGGAGGCAAGGAATTCCACTAATTAATTGTCCTCATTGTCAGGAATTTCTCTTTAGGTTTAGGTTGGATCTGTCTTTAATAATCTTCCACCCATTGCTGCTTGTCCTGCCTTCATCACCATTAGAATAGCAAAAAGCCCAGGGCTCACTACATTGCACAACCCCCTAGAGCATCTCAAATCAGAACCCTATAAAGCAGACATGTCAAACTCGTGACGTCACGTGACGTCGCGCAACGTATCGGGACAGTTTTGCCATTGCTGGCAATGGGGTGGGTGCAGCTTCCGCGTGACACCCCTGTTATAAAGTCTCAGTGGCTCAAGGTTGACTCAGCCTTCCATCCTTCCAAGGTCAGTAAAATGAGAACCCAGATTGTTGAGGGCAACAGGCTGATTCTGTAAACTGCTTAGAGAGGGATGTAAAACATTGTGAAGTGGTATATAAGTCTAAGTTCTATTGCTATTGCTAAGATCCATCCACTCACTCAGCCATTTTGTCAGCCACCCCAGAAACATGCTGCTGCCACTGAAGTTTCTGGCCACTAAATAAAGAGACCTCATTTCCAAAATGCAGCCTGCCTTCAGCTCATTTATACAGCGTGCTCCCGGCTTGGAACAGGATCTGATTTTTCTTCCAACAGCATGTTGTGGGAATGACATCCTGGTGGGCTTAGCCAGCTACGCAGGGCGAGGGTGTTCATATCACAACAGTTCCTGCTTTGCTAAGGGTCTGTCTCAGTCGCCTCCTTTATTGTCTTTCCTCACCCCAGTCCCCCCTTCTTGTGTTGTGTTCTCAGACACAAGGATGGGATCTCAGGTTTGTCCTCCATGCAGCCCAGGAAGATTCATGCTGGTTGTGAGTTTGTGTAGGCTCTAAAGTGGGATTTGCCGCATTAGATGGTTCTCACCCTTCCAGCGCTGACTATCCAGCAATTATAGAATTGAGTGCAATTAAAAGTAGTAATCTTCCTTTTAAGTTTATTTGTTATTAATTCCCACGAGATAGGCATCACTGTTTTCCAGTTAGGTCTTGAATCAAGAAGATGAGTTTTCACAGCAAGGGGCCTGATTAACGCCTAATTACTTGACACTCATCTAAACTGCCCAGACTTGTCTGCAGTCCACATTCTGCCTCTTTCTTATGGGCAACCAGTGGACACCCCCCAAAACAAATAAAGCTAATAAATTCAAATAAATAAATTTACTGTTTGTATTCCTTTTCCATTACAGGTAGTCCTCGACTTACAACAGTTCATTTAGTGATCATCCAAAGTTACAACGGCCCTGAACAAAGTGACCCCAATCCCTTCCTCCTCCTCCTCCTCCTCCTCCTCCTCCTCCTCC